AGGTGCAGGGTCTGCTAGCTGGGTGCTGGCAGGCTTGCACCTGGCACGGGCACCGTAGCCAGCCCGTGCCCCTTTAAGGGCTCCGGGGCCGGGAGGGGGGCAATAGTTTCCCCCTGGTGTTGGCCAGAGTGGCCACCAGGGAAACCTGGGGAGGTCTAGCCTCCCACTCGTTCGAATTAACTTTCATAGGCGCAACTTTCATAACTACACACCCCTTAATTCGAACTAGTAAGTTCGAACTAGGCTTAATCCTCGTGGAATGAGGATTACCTAGTTCGAACTAAGCACTCCGTTAGTTCGAATTAAGTTCGAACTAACGGAGCGCTAATGTAGCGCCTATGAAAGTTAGTTCGAACTAACTTTGTAGTGTAGACATACCCTCTATATTTTTAGAGTGCATCAGATTGTGCATCAGTTTGTCATTTGTTTAAGAACTCTTCCTAAACCATAAGAGTTAGGATTACCAAATTTGATGTGTGCAGTGGCAGTCTAAAAACTAAAAGGCTAACTGAATATTGGGAATCATTAGGAAAGGAACAGATGATAAGACAAAATACCATATTGCCTCTATATAAAGTCATTGTATGCCCACATCTTGAATACTGTATGCAGATCTGGTCACCCCATCTTAAAAAGATATATCGTATTTGGAAAAGGTACAGAAAGGGCAACAGAAATGATTAGTGGTAAGGAATAGTTTCCATAAGAGGAGAGATTAACAAGACTGGGACTTTTCATCTTGGAAAATAAATGATTAAAGCATGGAGGGATAAGTTAGAGATTTAGAAAATAGAATAAGGAAATGTTATTTACTCCTTCAGTAACATAACACAAGAAGCTCACCCAACTACATTTATAGGCAACATATTTAAAACAAACTATTTCGTCACACCTATGGAACTCTTTGCCAGGAGATGGTGGAAAAGCCCAAAATAAAACAGGGTTCCAATAAGAACAAAATAAGTTCAAGGAGCATAGGTGCATCAACGGCTACTAGCCAGAATGGGCAGGAATGGTTTCCCAAGCTTCTGTTTGCCAGAAGCGATCAATGGGCAACAGAAGATGGATCATCTGATGAATGCAGGTTCTGTTTCTTCTGAAGCACCTGGCACTCTTGGAAAACAGGATACTGGGCTAAATGGACTTTTGGTCAGACCCAATATGTTCATTCTGATGTTCTTATATAGAGCTTCGTTCTTAGCTTTTACCAAGCATGCTCAGTAACACCGCTGAAGCCTCCCTCTGTCCTCAGTCCACCCCTCATGCTATCGCTCTCCCCCTGCCCACCATCAAAGCATGCACTGGTCGTCACCCACCCCCCATCAAAATCTGAAATGGTGCCCACGTTTGCTCCTCCTCAGTCCTGACCTCTTACCCCAGCCTTTATTTTAAAAAAATACAATCATGGAAATAACACATGCATTATTTTCCAAAAAAAATTTAAAATAAATTCCTTCAGTTACAGACCTGAGCAACATTGGGTACATCTGCTAGCAAGAAGATATTGTTAAGATCTATTGTTTAGAAACTGGAAACTGGTTTCAAGATTCCTCTCTTGAGAGACAGTATTTCAGATGCATTTGAGGACACAAGAGCAGATCTTACACTGAATTGTCATGAGACATGTTTACCACTTCAAACAAAAACATTTGAAGGCATCCACTTACCTGCAATTCTCTGCATTTTCATACGTCGAGCTTGGATGCGGCCTTTTGCCAAACGCTGTTTTGCAATGATACAGCGAATGTGATCAGGAAAAACAAATGTTGCTTGGAGAATGGGAAAGGGCTTAGAATGAGGACTAGATGCAGGTTTGTGAATTATTATATTCAGAGCTCTACTATCATCTTCTACTCCAGTTACCTGCATATCCTATAAAGAAACAAACTATAGTTAGCTGTGAAACAAATTGAATTGTTCATTGTTGTTAGTTAAATTATAGATGAGCAATACATCATTACAACAAAGAAGTCAGAAAGATGGAGTAATGGTTAAAAATACACAAAATGTTGCAGTAAATTCATACAAATTTCTTGTGAAGTAAAACCAATACAGCTAATTCAGGCAAACATTCAGTTAAGTGAAATAGCTGTACCCACTATACGTTTTCTAGAAACATGACTACTGAGCTTGGCGTAACTTAATAAACAGACACTACTTTTGCAAAGCAACTCATTTATATATGTTTACATTCTGATACAGCTGGAATACCAAGGTATTTGAATTAGGTATCATCATATTTGGATTAAATGAAAAAAAAATATAAACTAGAATGAAAGATGCAGAAATCTCATTTTTTTTCAAGTACTAGCAATTCAGAGGACTAGAATTTTCTATATTTCATTGCAACATTCTGGTAATTTTGTAGAATACAAGTTTTCATAAAATTCCACAACAAATCCTAATACAGTTTGGACCTCTCTGGTCTGGCAAGTTGGGACCTTATAAGTCCTGAATGAGAGAACTTGCCAGACCGGGGAGGTGTCCCCTGTCCCCTTCCCCAGTGGCCTTCTGCCTCTGGCCCCCTTTTCTCCCTCTCCAGCCAGGCTGTCCATTGTGCCACTGCTGCCCCCCAACTCCAGACTGCCATGGGCGGCCAGGGTTCACCAGCCCCCTGCACTGATCTGGTGGTGCCACAGGTGACCAGGTTTCCCTGGCTCTACATTGCCACAGGAGGCTGCAATTTTCCAGCCCCTGACTGTGCTGCTGCGAGTGACCAGGCTTCTTCACCCTCTGTCCTGCACTGTGCAGGCAGCTCACCCCTTGCAATTAAGTTCCCAGTCTCTCTGGTCTAGGACCATTGCCAACTCAATCCACATATCTACCATAGTGGCACCACTATAGGATCTAACTATATCAGCCATACCATCAAAGGCTCATTTGTCTGCCACATCTGCTAATATGATATATATCATCATGTACCAACAATTTCCCCTTGCCCTGTACACTGGCCAAACCAAACTGTTTATACTCAAAATAATAAATGAACCTAATCAGTCATCAAGAATGGCAACATTCAAAAACCAGTAGGAGAGGACTTCAATCTCTCTGGACACACAGTAACAGACTTGAAAACTGCCATACTTCAACAAACAACAACAACAACAACAAAACCCCTTCAAAACCAGACTGCAATGTGAAACTGCAAAGCTGGAGTTCATACGCAAACTTTATATGATCAGATTGGATCTGAAGAGAGACTGGGAGCAGCTAGTTCACTACAAAAAGTATTTTTCCCCTTTGGGTATTCTCATTTTCTTATCAACTGTTGGGAGTGGGCCACACTCACCCTGATTGAATTGATCTCCTTAGCACTGGCCCTCTGCACAGTAATCTAACACTCCCATCTTTGTATGTGTGTTATATCCTACCAAACTGAAGATGCATCTGAAGAGAGATCCAGCCCACAAAAACTTATGCCCAAATAAATGTGAAAGGGTGTGTTTACACTGCACCGTTATTTTGAGATAACTAGCATTATTTTGAAATAACAATTCAAGCGTCTACAAAGACATCCCATTATTTCAAAATAATTTTGAAATAACGGACCGCTTATTCTGAAATCAGTAAACCTCATTCTACAAGGAATACCTAATTTTATTCCAAAATAGCTATTTTGAAATAAGGCATGTGTAGACGCTCCACTGCTGCTATTTCAAAATAGCCCCTTATCAGGGCCATTTTAAGTTATTCCTCCCCAGTGCCTCCTGTAGCTCTAAACTGAGATAGCATGTCTACATTAAGGAAGCCTGCCTTGGACTAATATTGAGGCTTCTCTGTAGTGTAGACGTGCTATTTCAGAATAAGCTATTTCAGAATAACTATTTTGGAATAGCTTATTTCAAAATAAGTGTGCAGTGTAGACGTACCTATAGTCTTTAAGATGCGACAGAACTCCTCGCTGTTCTTGCTAAAACAGATTAACATGGCTACCCCTCTGAAGCATCTCATCACAAGTATTAGAAGATCTGTTCTCTACTGCTCTAATTGAGAAAATATCTACTACATAGATTTAACTTCAAGCATGTGTTGAAATGCTATGGACTTGAGCGGAACTTCAGTGCTCAATGATCAGAGATGCTTTGTTAAATAGAGATGCCTGTATGAGGGAGTTACTTCATTTGCAGATGTCAGCCTGTGAACTTTTTAAGAGCTTCTTTGGAAAGACAGAAATTGCATAAAGCAATTTAAGAGAAGATAGAATTAGAAAAACTACTAAACACACAGAAAATAGGGAGGCATGTTATCAATTTCAAACATGCAGTGGTAAAATGAATACTAAGTTTCATTACAGTTCTTCTTACATTATAGGCTTTTCAGCTGGAAAACAAATCCGCAGGTTAACATATCTTACCTGCAAAAGGCCAGCAAATTTAACTACTCCCCAGCCCAGCCTGGCAACATCTGGCTCAACCAAACTCATCTGGTAAATATCCACAGCCAGAAATCTCTGAACTTGACCTCCATCTTTTGTAATCACGGTACAAGCAATTAAATCACTGTTATCTAAAGAAAAAAGAAATAGTTAAGATTGGCAGCTTTACAGTTAACTTGTGGCAACAGCATATTTTATTAGGTATTTCAGTTTTTTTCCCCAAGGAATATATTTTTCATTAAAAACAAGTTATCTTGACATATTTCAGATACTCATTTTCTCTTCCCATTCAGAGTCATTTTATTATGTTTATTCACAATTTATTCCTGATATACATTGGATGATGACTTATTTTGTATGTTATTTAGCTGGTTCAGGTTTTCATTTACCAGGCTTATGTTATTACACACAATGATTTCAGAGATGAACTTAAACCTCTTAATGCTGATATCTCCTCCTTGAGAACGGCTGAGATAACAGTGAACTCAAAGCTATGCATGTATTTTTTGCAGTGTAATTGCTTATTTGTTTACCCCAGTAGCCCTTCCAGTTTTCCTCCCCATCCCACCAGTTCCCATGGTGGGAGACTAGGGTTGCTAGGTGTCCAGTATTGACCCAGACAGTCCAGTATTTTTGGCTCCTGTCTGGTAAAAAAGGTCGGAAAATATCGGACACTTAAAATGTCCGGTATTTTCTGATTTTTTCCCGGCCAGGGGGGTGAAAATACCAGACTATCTGGGTCAATACCGGACACCTGGCAACCCTACAACACACTCAGCAATTGGGCCCAGTCCCCTCCCACCCCCCGCTTTCCTGGTTCTGCAGGGGAGCTGTCTGGCCCAGAGCAGGGAGGGAGGCAAGATGGCAACCGGCTGCTGGCAGCCTGTTAGGAGAGGCAGAGCTCAGCCCCTCCGGATCTTAAAGGGGCCATGCTGTTTTTAATTTTTTTTTATGCTTAATAACTCTCTGGGTCCTTTTTTTGTTTTTGTTTTGCTCAACAACTTTGGTCTCACTCCCCCCTTTTTTTCAACAACACTTTTCCCCATTTTTGGGGGGGAGAGGGAGCTTGGTATAGGAGACCACACCATTGTCTAATCTCTAGAGCAGGGACAGGGAACCTTTTTTGGGTCCGGGTCCATTGTTCCACAGAAAAAAATAGGTCAGGGGCCACACACAAGTGAGAATTTTAAAAATAACAAAACACTAAGGGTATGTCTACACTAGCTCGTTAATTCGAGCTAGGTAGGCAAATCAGGCAACCAGAGTTGCAAATGAAGAGTAACAATTCCACGAGGAGTAACAGTTAATCCGAACTAAGGATTTAGTTCGGATTAACTTCTGAGTGCCGCGTGTAGCCGCAGAGTCAGTTAGAACTAAGGGGGATTTAAAGTGGTGGCCGGATGGGAACATGCAAATAAAGCCAGGGATATTTAAATTCATTTGCAACTCCGGTTGCCTGATTTGCCTACCTAGCTCGAATTAACGAGCTAGTGTAGACATACCCTAACTGATCTGGCCCTCAAGTCAGAAAAAACCCTCACAGATGTGGCCCCCAACTAAGAAGCAGAAAACCACACCCCAGCCAGCTC